CAGCATTATTTATATGTGCATATTTTAAAGAAACTAGACATGCACTATTACAGTATATAATAACTAAAGAAATCCTTCATTAGTTGAATCCTGCATATATCTGTAAATACTGTCATGTATAATATACTGTATGTGTAAAATACATATTAAACATATGACCCAAATGTTTTATCTCCCGAATAGCCCATGTTAATTTCTGTCTAAATCTGTTTGTGAGGTATCCAAACCAATAGCTCTACTTTAATGGATCTTTTTGTAGTAGTTCTGGTTTTCCACTTATAAGACTAGGAGATGATAAATATTAGTGAGTTTGCTTTTCAAAAAGCTGCAGTAGCCAAGTTTTTACTGCTTGATGACCCTGTAATGCTCTGTACTTGGCGGATGTTCAAAGTCTTCTTTGAATGTTTCTTGATTTGACCTTTGGATGTTAGCCAGAAAAGGTAACATTAGCAATATAATGTAACTCAGCCTAAAATATGTCTTTATGATCCCACTGCCGATGGCACTATACACTGCCTGGTTTAGTCATCAATTTACCTTTGAATGGTGTGTTTGCCCTAAAAAGTGAGACCACGGTTATGACTCAAAGACCATATTTGTTAGCTTTGTTTTGTCTTGATGCAAACAGTGCAGAATAACTTTCCTTCTCTGTGTTTTTCCTTACTTTACTAAACTTTGCTTCCCTTAAGAGGCCGAACATGTTGAGAATGAGTTTCCTCTCAGTCCTTCACTCAGGAGTATCAGACCAGAACACAGGCCATGTGCACCTGTGTGGTAACACAGAAGCAAAATCAGCAAGACGCTGCCTCTGTTCCTCTGGGCTTTGTTTCTGTTGCCTTTTTCCAGCAATCCTTCTGAAACATGGTATTTATTTGTGTGTTCTCTTAACTACAGGAAAACTCTACAAAAAATTTATATTAAGAACATAATCCATCACTTTCTGTAGACTTAAAAATTTGGTTTTGAAAAATTTGAAGCTTGCGCCAACCAACAATTGCAGTCAACCTGAATTCATAACAGGGCTAAGGTTATAGGTTACAATGATCTATTTTTGTTAGTATATTTTCACTAATATGTAAAAATGAGTGCAGCTCTGGGTTTGTTCTGCTTCACCACTCATTAACACAATAATATTTGAACATATTTTGGCAGAAGATGAACCTCTTTCTGATGTGGGAGCTTGAAAGCCGGCTGTCAGTCTGATGACAGATGGCTTTCTCCAACACTACATGGTGCTAGCAGCCTCTCAGCCTACATGCTGGTCACCTCCTTAGTCCTCTCACATAAGGCGGCAGAAGCTTCCTCAGACTAACACCGTCACTCATAATGTGTGTAGTGTTAATTTTCCATTGAATATTTAGAAGCAGTAATAATTAGAAGTAGAATGATAGTTCCGTATATGGTGATGTTTTCCACTACCCTTTGCATGTACTTTCAGGTTCCTAAAACTTGTGTGTCAGGAGTTCAAGTCAGCTGGAAGTGATGTCTGTGTTGCTATGCAGAAAAAGTATGATTTCCTTGTGAAGAGTTAAGACATGAGTGTGACCTCCAGTTGCAACCAGCTTCCTATTTCTGCACACTTATCGCTTTTCTGTCTGAAATGTGATTACAAACATGCACAGACACTGTCTGATTTTTGAGTTTTGACTGAGACCGTAGTGTCTAACATTCATTTGTATGCTCCTCTTTGCAAAGAATAAAAGATTCAAAGACAAGTCCTCTTCTCCAAACTTCAAGTTTTTACTCTTCAACTCTCATCCTAAACATCTGCATCCACCCATGCATCTGGCCTGAACCATCAGCCCACTTCCATTCCACTTAATACTGAACCTATCCATAGCCTGGCCTGTGCTCACTTTCCCTGGCTACAAAGGCACTGTAAACAGACCTAGTTGTAATGGCCATCTTGTTTGTTGTCCATAACATTCAAATATTGACACTGTTTTAGAGCATTTTGGTGACTTGACAGCTCAACAGCAGATTTGTATGTATTTCCTAATGCAACTAAAGCACTTGGTGACAGCTGTAGGAGCACTTAAAAGAGAAAAGTTCATCCAAGCTGCCAACATGAGACTTGTGTTGCATGAGATTTTGGAGAAGAAAAAACAGAATGTCTGCTAGGTGGGATGTGTGATGCAGGCAGAGACAGAGCTCCTGTGTTTCACTGCAGCTTCCTTTCCTCTCAAGGGAGCATGACCACATATGATAAAGATGTCAGTGTACAATGGATGTAAATCACAGTCATTATCTGAATGTGTGTCTCTCATCAAAACACATAGACAGGCAGCTTGGCATGTCATGAGCTCCAGCTCCACTTCCGGTAACCGTCTCTCTTTATTTGGCACTTCCTTCCACCCTACTCTCACTCCTGGTCACTTTACTTCATCACACCAATCACCCTCACCTGTGCCGACTGACAACACCTGTGCATACGCTCTTATAAGCAGCTTCATCTTGCAGAGAAGCTGCCAGATTGTGCAGGCAGTGTGCTTGACTCTCTAACCATTCTGTACCTGCATCTCTTGTGTGAGGAATGAGTTTTAGTATCTGCCTCTCTGGATTCTGCTACTGAGCCAGGACTCCTGCCTGTGGAAGAAGAAGTGCTTTCTTTCCTCAGTGACTTTGTCTACTGTCACTGTGCCTTGTCACTGCACCCAAGTAATGCCAGAGCCAGTCACCCACCTTGTCAGCTCTACACCTCTACCAGCACCCGGCCCTCTCCAAGCTCATCATTATTGTCAATAAAAACGTACGTATTTACAACCAATGATACTGGCCATTTAACTGGGCTCCTCTCAGTTAGTGGTGTGTACTTCTCACACTAAACTGACATGGCAAACAGCACTGAATGTTCTATCAGTAGGATATGCAGTAGGAATAATATGGGGAGGGGGATGGAAATAAAGGCCTATTATGACTAAGCAACAGGAAAAATACATATATATTTTATATGGTTTCTATTGTGTGTGTTGTTTTTTTTTAAAGAAAGCTGTGCAGTCTGACATGAGTAACATAGATGACAGAATCAGTGCAAGGACCTTTCACACAAAGTTACAAATACAAGTGTTCTGTAATCATTTCCCCAACATAAATACAGCCTTTCTTCAGTGTGTGGCTAGCTGAAGCCAACAGGACCCGGCCCATCACCAGCACCAGGGCGGTTCCGCTGTGGCTATCACAGCGGCAAAGGCTGGACAGTTGAGGCGGTTGCCAAAAAGCTTGTTGGGTGGAGCCATAAAGAAGAGAGGAAAAAAGTATAAAAATATCCCG